GGCCGAGGCCGGACCTGCCTGCCTTACCTCTTACTGGACAGGTGTAGAGAGAACGTAGTAGCAATAAAAATACTATTTGTGTGAAAAAATATAATGGAATATTAATATAGTATAATACAGTGATTTAGTGACTTTTTTTCCTGTGGCATTGCAGCTGCAGACTACTTAAGCAGTGAGTATTACTCTGTCATTGTCTTCTTGAGACTATCTTTAGGAATCTGTTTTGTTGCTTATGAAGCTGTGAAAAGTAGGAGAGAAGTGAAATGTTAATACCTCTTTTCACTGGATTCGAAAAGCATCGACAAAGGTTTATGATGTTGAGTGTGCATTAAGTAGTATGTTTGCAATGGCACATTCTCTCAAGGGTTTAGGTGACAATTTTCAGTAAATCTGTACAAGCTGCAATGTGACAGTAGGGAATAGATTTATAACTGTGTTTTTCTTGAATTTTTGACTGGTCCTTATTAAAATGAGCACAAGTAGTGGGTTTTTTTCTGTTTTGGAAAGAAAATGGTTTGAAATGGTCCTGGCAACAATTGAATGGTTTGGTATTACTTCAGTGCAGGTATATTTAACCCTTTTTCTTATGCTTTCAGGACGAGGATTTGCATTTCGGAGAAAACAAAAGGTCGAAAGACAATACAGGAAACTGTTGAAAAAGGGAAGAAAGGTCCATTCACAACAGGATGATCAGTTTACAGATACTTATCCAGAGCACTTGAAACATCTTTACCTAGCCGAGGAAGAAAGGCTTGAGGAAGAAAGGCGTAAGAAACGGCGCAGGGCTCCAGATGATTCAGTTTTATCAGAAGAAAAACTTAATAAAGCAGTAGAGTAAGTTTTTGAAATATATTTCCAAAAACAAGTAATTGTTTTCATCATTAAAGAAATATTTTAGATCTTATACTTCACATGGACTTCAGTATGGTGATTTGCTTTACTAAAAAAATGCCATTAAGTCTTAAAAGTTTTTCCTAATTGTTAGGAAATTTAAACATACAGCTTTGTTGTGTTTGCATCAGAATCAGAAAGCAAAATTGATGTTTAGGGCTTGATTCCACAGAAATAGTATGACAGTTACCGTTGTACTTTAAGGGTAGGGTTCAGCCCAAGAGCAGCATTTGGCCAATTTGTTACCATGCCTACAAAGAGAAGAGCCTGCATTTTAGGTAGTGTGCTTTTGAGTCTACAGAGTTTTCCTTTGAATTGATTCTCGGTATTTTTAAATTAGTGTCACTTTTCAGGAACGTTTTTTGCATTATCTTTCTGTTCCCATTTTGATAAGTTGTTTTCTTCATATTGCATTGTTGTTCCACTAGAATGAGCGACATTATGTGTAGTTATCCTTTTGGGGTGGGGCTAGTTTTGGGGGGGGGGGGGGGGGGCTTTTAACTATGAACTTTAAAAAAAAAAAATGAAATGGAGGATTTAGTAAAACCTTAAAGCAGTAAAGTGTTCTTGATCAAAATAATAATTTTAAATAATAGAGATGTCATAATAGTTTGCCAGTGGTGTTTGGGTTTTCTGTTTTTTTGTTTTGTTTTAAATTTACTTACAATAACTGGGAAAAGTCAAATGGAGTTTTTAATTTGTGGTCTAACAAATGTCAGACAACTTAAACCATTTTTCCCTGTGTGACAGTAATTCCCCCTGAAATCTCGGTTAGGTATGTCAGTAAAATGAAAAGCAGTAGTCACTCAGGTCTAACACTGTCATGGAAGTGTTTTTAAACAACATTAAAGTACGGTGATTGAAATAATGCCTTTTTGTCCCCAGGACAAGGAGTGCCATAAGTCTTTGAATTCCAAGGTGTATCTACATCTAAACTTTCCTGGGAAGAGAGCTTGGGAGAGGTGGGGGAAAGGTAGTCAGATCTAAGCTCAGCAGTGGGAGAAAGGTAGAGTTTTGTTTGGAATATTCATCTAGATGTCTGAAATACAACTGTTTTTCTTTAAACCAGAGGGTTTTTTAATTTTGCTTAAACTATGGTCATTGTGACTGTAAACCAGAATTAATAATTCTGGAAAAATGTGACTGCCAATCTGTGAGGTGGGGTGAGGTATAGAGTCTATTAGATAGACTTCAGTGTTCTGTGGGGATGTAAAATAAGACTTTGGTTAAGTAATTCTATTTTGGCATATATTGCAATTTAAGTGGTTTTGTATTTCTGAGAAGATGAGGAGTCATTGCACAGTATTGCCACAAGATGGAGATGAGAATAAAGCAAAGATTTTTTTTTTTTTTTTTTTCCCTCCTGAAGAGTGTGGTATTTCTAAATGAAAGTATGAGTAAATACCTTCCCTTTCCTTTTTGTCTGTAATGTCCTAGATGGTGATGGCTAGTTCTCAATTTTTTGTAGTGTGAGTAATAGAGTAATCAAAAACTTATTTTTGTGAACAGCTGTTAACTGTCTAGCAAAGCTTATGTTTTTCAAGTGTGAAGAGTCACTGTTTATGTAATGGCTTTATTGTAAATCAGAAAAAAATTTAGAGCTAAATAACCAGAAAAATCCACTCAGAGTAGTGTGACAGTAAAAGCCAGACAGGTGGCACTGGTTTTCTTTACTGTTTTCTTTGAAAGATACCTGGGCAGTTTTTTTATATTGAAACTGGGAAGGAAAATTCAGTTTCTAATTTCAGAACATTGAGGACCATCTGCGTCAAGAGGAAACTTTTAGAAAAGCATGGTTACTACTGTGTTTTTTCACCTTGACATATCAGCCTGACTTCTCTGGATGGCAATCTGCTAACAGCTGGCTGTCCTCATATCTCTGCAGTTGCATCCATGTGTCGGAACTAGAAAGAGCTAATACAGCTCTAAGCTAGTGCATTCAGTTTTTCTAGCTCTCAAGAGCTAGTACAATGGGAAAAAAAACTCTTTTAGGCACTCTTTAAATTTCATGAAACACCATCCATGTGAAGATCCAGCAGGTAAGGTGTATGTGTTACTAAAAGTTCTGTGCAGTCCAGTCTTCAGTACACTCGGCATTGGAGGAGTTTAGTTTGCTGTATTTTCATGCTAGATGCTCATTACGTGACATGTAGTGGTGCTGGGTATCATGTAAGAGTAGTGCAATAGGTATCCATTCAGTGTAGAAGGATGAGCCTTGCTTGTTACTTATGTAATCTGTAAATCTGTATTTCTAATTAATTCCCCCAAATATGCAAAAAACAGTGGAAGAGTGGAAGACTGTGCTCTGATTATGCAGTGGGTATGGGATATATAGTTATGTCTGCTCGGTGATAGTCCGTATCTGAAGTACATGTACTTTTTCTCATAGGTCAGTTATGACTGAAAGCAAGTTTAAGAAGAAAACGTCCAATCAGAAAGCAAAAGAAGAGTATGAGAAAATAAAGGCTGAGCGTGCTAGAAAGAAAGAGGTAAATCTTAAACAGAGATCTTGCTTGATTGTAGACAAAGACTAGATTAATACCATTTCTACTTGCTAGTCTTCTATCTGGACCCAAATAGGACCATAGGAGAAGGAACACAGGTATTGGTATTCTTTCAGTCTTTTTCAACCTGACAGTAATATTCAGGCATGCAGGTGTTCAAAGTTACCATTGTTTTTGTTCTTACTATTTTTGTTTTGCAGTTGCCGTTAGCGGGATTTTATTATGTCAGTTGGTACATCAAGAAAAACTTAGAGCTTGATCTGCGTATCCCAGTAGATTATACTAGACCTCTTAAATATTCTAGAAGGGGAAGTAATAATAATACCATCATCTTGTGATGAAAAATGAAATATCTATCCTATTTCTTATGGTGTTATCATAACGCAGTCTTCATTTTACCTTTTTATGTGCTTTGACCAACAGTGAAACAATTAAATCTAATCGTGTCCGTGCCCAAAATCTTCAGTAATTTTTTCCCTCCTACTAATTTAATGGGACTTAGTCTTATGGGGTGTCTCTTAATATTGTCATGGTTGAATAACTCAGTTGAGTTATTCATTTGAGACATCCTTATTTAATTAGTTTTGTTCTCTACCAGTACATTGTTCATTGCACTGTAAAATGGCACACACTGTAACACTGTAGAAGTTGTGTAACTTGCTGCTTACAAAATAAATTTCAGTAATTGCTGTACAAATATTACATAAATATATAGCTGGATAAAGCATATTATTTCTTCAGTTTAGCTGTATTGAAAACTAGAATAGTTTTATGCAAGCTGATCTGTGATTCTGGGTGAGTTATGTGGTTGTTCAGCTGAGAGCTTCTTTTTTGAATATTAGATACAGATCATGCTAGAAGAAATGCTTAAAAGATCATGCTAAAAGACCAGCTTATTTCGAGGAAATAGGAACAAATGAAAACCCAGCGAGACCACAAGGCAATTTCTTTGAGCAGCACATGAGAGTTGCCTGAGGGGAGGTGTTAGCATTTTTGGCCTTATTCAAGATAGTTAGGCAAAACAAACAGTAGCTAAGTGCCAAAATAACAGTAATCATTTATGTGGAATACTGGTATGATGATCGCATACTTTTCCCTCACATATGTTAGCAAACTGGATTTGCTCTTTCTTATTTTGGGAAAAGAAATAAGCTTAAAGGCACAGTTTTGGCCTCCACAGTATATAAAAAAGTTGGGATTTAGTAGAGATCAGAGAAAGTACAAACATAACAACTACTTAAGTAAGATGAATGTTCTTGCTTTGAGTAAGCATTTGGTTGGTAGCTTAAATAAATGTTGTTTACAACAGTATGCCGAACAGCAGTAAAATTATTAGGAAGTGAATTACAGGTAAGTTAGTCAATGCTACTCTTTTTTTTTTCTTTTTTTTTTAAAAAAGAATGAATTGTATTAATCATTGTTACAGTGAAATATTCAAAGCGTTCTGAATGGAGAGATGTTATATTTGCTGGTTTGTTTGGTTTCCCCCACCCCCAGAAGCCTCTTAGATTTCTATTTAGAAATACTTTCTTGGGTCATTTCTGGTTAATTGTATATTCTACATCACAGAGTATTCATACTGATTTTTGTACATCACAGAAGCTGGCTGTGTCTTGGAAAACAATAACATAATTGATAAATTAAAATCTGTTTGAGTATTCTGCAGAAACATCTGCCTTTATGGTCAGCATGGCATGGCATTTCAAAGAATAAGCTTTACGAGAAGAAATCATCCAAATGAACTGAAGCAGTCCTTCAGTCTGATTGGTGATGTCTTGCATGTTTTGGTAGGACGTGATATAAGTGAAGCAAGCTAGTTAGCTTGCTTGTTGTGGATGTTTGACCAAATTACTTAATAAAATTACAACACTAGAGAAGGGGCTGTAAGCTGTTTGATAAAAAATGAACATAATATCATGATGATTATCCATACAGTCTTAAGTGCCTCCATTAGTGTTTTACTTGCATGTGTGCTGTCCCCTCAACACGGAAAGTTTGTGCAGTTGAAAATTTGGTTAGGCTTTATTTTTCCTATCTTTTAGTGAAGACAGCAGTCTGTGTTGCTTCGAAGAGGACAGGTCACTAATAGTTTGGTCCTGATTAAGTTGCCCTAGGTAATGCTGCTTGCAATGCTATCCTAGTGTCACAAACTCACCCAGCTTCCAGCTCCACATATGTCCCATACCCTATCTGCCAGTCCCATGCAGATGTGGCCAGTATCCTAGCACATCTGGATTGGCAAGACATTTACATGGGGGCCACTGGATGAAACTCTTTCTTGCACTCAAAAGGAGAAAGTGGGAAATTTTTGCCACTTTGTCATTCAAGGAAGAAAGTCAAGGAGCTTACTTCACAGAAAGAAAGTAGTATGCATTTTAGTGACAAATCTTACTGTAGGATATTCTACTGAAGAAAACTTGGCTCTTCTCTTGAAGCTTTAGGCAATATCATATGTTTTGATTGCAGTATGTGCTGAAGGAGAGTCCTGATTAAACTTTTAAGAGTAATGGTGTTTCTAGTGTCAGTACAATACCTAATTGCCAGTATCTTTCCAAAAAGAAATTTTATTGCTTATTGATAGCTTCATAGTTACAGAAGGTATGTAATTATTTCTTAATCTTATCTGTTTAATTTCAGGAAGCAGAAAAAAGAAAACAGCAAAGAGAAGCAGCTCAACGGTTGTACAAGCAAAAGAAAATGGAAGCTTATAAAATATTGAGTAAGAAGACGAAAAGAGGACAGCCAAATCTAAACTTACAAATGGAGTTTCTTCTTCAGAAAATACAGCAAAATACATAAATCTCTGCATACGTCTTAATTACAGGTCTTGAGTTACCTGTGGACAATTTATTAATTTTAATAAATAATGTCTTTTTGCTTCTATGTGATTTTTGTCATTGGCTTGATTTATCTCATCAGTCCCTTAGTGGAGGATATTCATCCTGAAAATACGTATTCTATGCTGAGTGAGAGAGATCTTGTACCTTGAAAATAAATGATCTGTATTTCTGAACTTAAATTCTATTAGCTAGGTAATATCCTGCATCCCAAATCATTAGAACCTAGTACCATCTGAACATAAACCTACATAGTGTAGAACATTTGTTTTCTAGCTCTAACACTTCCTGCAATTGTGACTACTAAAATTATGCTTACTTGAGTAAAATGATACATGTGACATAATCCATGAACTGCCAAGGCTAGGAGTGTGGTTTGTGTGCTAGTGGATAGGGTTTGGCACGTGAAAACAACATAAACTGTACTTGGGTGGCTATTATTTATCTTTCTCCACAAAGAATAAAACTTGCCAAAGGTCCAAAAATGGTTTGAGTGTAAAGATCGTGTAGACTTAACATACACTTTGTGCTTGGTGATTTATACTTTGGTGATTTATTTTGTTCATAAACTAAGTATGGCTTTCTAGCTGTGATGGATCAGGTAGATGGGCTGAGGTTTTGGTATGCTGAGTATATCAAGTTTCTAATCTTTGTTCTTTGGAACATTTTGGAGAAAGAATTCTTTTATATTTTGATTTCGAGATGCAATTAGTGATCTTTGGCCTAATAAAATGAAAGCATTCTTAGTAAGACTAAATTTGCCATAAAGCAAGTTACCTATTTTCCGTAAGTTCACACAGGAGAGTACTATTATACTTTTGCCTTTATCTCAGTCTACTTTGGCAGCCAAGAAATAATACTGAGGTGTTTTTCTGCGTACAATAAAGACTATTTAGACATCAAAGTAAGTAATGTTTTTGGAATAAAATTCTCAGGGCATGCTGTGTAGGAGTTGCAATACATTTACAGTATTACAGTATTAAATGATCTCATTTACAAGTTGATGTAAACTGCAAAAAAATCCATATTTAAAATACATGGGAAAAATAAGTAGTTTTGAATTGTATGCCAAACTTAAATGAGGAATAGGTCAGGAATTTGAGTTGTCTAAAATGTTTCTTGTGTCAGTATCCTGAGGTATTTTCAACTTTTTCAATGCTTTTTGCAAGGCTTTGAATCGTTGTGCCGTGATGTCATTTAGCAAAAACTGAACATAAGTCATAAGGTAGTGCACCAACAGAAAATGTGTGAGCTTTTCTTGAAATGGGCATGTCCAGTCTAGGAGAGAAAGGGAGCATAAATTTGACATTCTGTTTTATACTTTTCCTTCTATTTTTTTTTTCTGAAAATTGCTGTCATTGCCAATTTTTAATGGCTCCATGCTGAAACATTAAAGAGCAGAAATCTGCAAAGTGCCCAGAAAGTGGGAAGGCAAGTTTTGGCATACACAGTCTGTTTTGATTCTTACTCTAGGCTGTCAGCTTTTATGTAAAAAAATGCAAACTGCAACTACTTGCAATTATTAAGGGTTTTATTGGTAGTGCAACAGACTTAAAACGTTAGCTTCATGTAACTTGTGAATAACATGGAACATTTTCCATGTGAATTCACGCTTGAAGTTCTTCCATTTTTTGTTTGCATGTGTCTGCTACTCTATGATCTTTTAGCATTCTTTGGCTAAGGAAATGTTAAACACAAGTATTCTGAATTGTCATCTTAAAAGGACCTCAGTTTGCCATCAGTTCACTTATATACCTGCTGGGCAGATGTTTGCCATGATGTCAGCTGTCTGGAAAGATTTTGGAAAACTGTAAGTCTTAGACCAGTAATTCCATTGGTCAGTGGCCATCCTGGATTACTGGTATCGCTATGGATACTGGTATACAGTCTACACAGCAGCACACTTTTAGATATGGTGTTTATCCGTAAAGCATTTGGATGAAGTTTGAATGATGCATTTGAAATCCAGATTTTCTTCTCTTCTGTTAAAGTGAGCAAAAACTTTACTGTCAAAATACTCCATATGCTTGATTCTTCCTGGAAAATAGGCTAGGTAATATGAGCTAGTAAGTTAATTTAGCCTTTTTGGTTTTTTCATTCCTCCTTAGCAACAAGAAGTCTCAGCGGCTGATTAGTGGAAAAGAACAGAATTCTGCTCTAAAAAGAAATAATTTTTATACTTGCATTATTCTCTGGTTTTGTTTAAGAATTAGAATTTTGAGAGACATTCAGGATCCATAGTATCTGTTCCACAGTATTGGTCACCAAAATTTAATCTTACCTCATTCTAACTTTAATTGTTGCCCTTCTTTTTAGTCTTTTTATTCCATGTTCTTGGGGATAGTTAATATGAAACAGACCAGGTTTATCTGGTTTTCCTGAAGAGGCACCTGAAAATGCCTCCCTCTTCCCCCAGTGCTTCAGATAACCTGATCAGGCAGAGCACTTAATCAAAAACCAGTGTGGTATCTGACCTTAGCCCCGGCATTGCTGGCCTCAGGGAGGAGAGGGAGTTTCTGGCATTTCTCCCCATCGCTTTCTTTCTTCCGTAGCTTTATTTGATTTGGAGATAAAAAGGGGCTACAACTAAGCCCAGCTTCTCACAGGCTCTCGTACAAGAGACCTTTTTTCCCACCAGAATTCTTGATATAACAGTTCTAAAAGGAAGAAGTTAAAATTGCGTATTTCCTCACACTGTCCTTTGCTGATTACCATGAAGTAGCAGCCCAGGACGGTAGTCACGAGAAGCCGGTGCAGCCCAGTGTCAGCCGCTTGCTGAGCCCGCGCTCCTGCACTGTCAAGCCTCTTAAATTAATTCAGGACCGCTGGAAGGCAGCGATACAGCACTGATGACGCTGGGCGGCTCAAGGTCATACCGGCAGAGAAGGGAATTGAACCTTTGCTTTCATTTACAGAGTAGTACTGTAACAACCGACCTAGTCTCTTTCTATGGAGAAAAGTGTGGAGAATGGAGGGGAGGAATGTTTTGAGGAAAGAAAGATAGATCTCATTACTTTCTTTGACCTGGTGATCACTAGGAAAATAGTCCAACAGCAATTATATGAGTTTATGGAGGCTGCCTGTAAAAGCTGCTGCTTTCAACTGTGTCTTTCAATTTGAAACATATGAGAAGTTAGTCCAATGGGATATTAAACTTGTACTGGTTTTTATTAAACTTTGCAGTGAATATGTAGTATAGATGTTGAAATGTGAAAAAGAGGAGCATAAGTTCTGTTGCCATTCTTTTTTTTCTTTTTCCCTAGTCAGACACTCAACTTCTCCCTTCTCCAACAGTTTGTTTTCTATTCTCTGAAAGCCTGCAGATCTCAAGTAGTTACGTCTTTCCAGTACATCTTCTATCCCTTCCACTTCATCTTACTCAAGGCTGCACAGTTTGAAATTTTAAGTTGGATAATCAGTGAATGCAGGCAACTTCAGACATCTCTTTTTTTTTTTTTTTCCTTTCATTATAGACCAGTGAAGCAGTGAATCAGAAGTAAGCGAGGGAAGAAAGCATCAGGTACAATACATTCATTTTCTCTTTTTGGTTCTGAGGAACAGAATGTGAAGCTTCCCTTGCTCCTTTTGCAGGTAACTTCTTGGGAAATCATAATAGTCACTTAAATGGATCATCTCATTAAGCTGGCTTTGACATTACAGGGACTTTCTCACCCCATACCCATCTTGAAAGAATTTTTTTTTCTTGCCAGTAATAGGAAAATCAAACCAAAAACTTTCACCTGCTAAGATACTAAGGCTTTGGAGATGTGGGACAATGTAGACTTTGGATTTTTTTTATCTTTATAGTCTGTTAAATTATGCCTGCACTAAGAATTAGGTAAAGAACATGAAGTTAAAAACCTGATTGTAATCTTAGTGTTTATTTTTGCTTTCACAAAGTAATGTTTTAAATGATTAATCAAAGACTTTAGAAGCCATTCTAAATGGATTAATGGACAGAAGTGTTGTGAGCATAAGAAAAATAGAAGGGCGTTTCATTTAATAAAATCAGTGAAGACAGGACAGAGCTCTGAAATACCAATTTTCCATAGAATTTTTATTAACTCATGCATGCCTTCTGGAAATTGTTGAGTGGGTAGTTAATAGTGAACTGACAGCCATGCAGCTAGCTTGCTGACTTTCCTCTAAAGAGAACCTTTGTGGGATTTGGAAAAGAAAAAAAAAGGTCTAAAGTAGTTCAATCTGAACCCTTAGTAAAACAATTGTTGGTCCATTCATAAAGCTGGTGTGTAAACGGCCTACAACGTGCTGATTGCTCCACCTTTTGTGTATAGATTTGTCATGAACTTTGTTGTCTTCTATGTAGTTTTTAATTAGTAGCAATTTGGATCATTCTTTTCAAGTCTGGATTTATTTATATATTTTCCCAAAAGAGAGATTATCCCCACATTTGTATCTATTTTTTTAATATCTTGATATCAACCCAGTTGAGGAAACACATATATCTGTTGAGAAACTATATTTGAGGATCCCACTTTGCAAATTAAAAAAGAAAATAAACGTTATGAAAATAAACTAAGCTAGCTTAATGTTTTACTAACCTATTTAGTCCACGCTTGCTCACTAGATAACGTGATAAGAAGTGGCACGTAGATTTAAACTATCTATATGCAAAAATGCTGAATTTTGTTTTGTCTTCTACCTGCCATGAGACAATTTGTGTTACAAAACCCCAAGTGCTAAAAGCAGAAAGACTGTTTCCCTAAGGAGGATCTCTGGTTTCTGCTCACGATAGGTGCTCAGGTGCTGGAATCCAGGATCTGCAGATTAAATGGTTACGGCTCTGCTGCACCGATCTGCTTATGGGGCGTCAGAGTGGGCTAAACTCCCCACTGATGTGCTCCTCGCTGCATAAATGCTGTTCTTTGGAACTGAACGAGAAACAAATACCTCTTTTTTTGACCCTTGATAGTTGCCAGGTCATGAGAGCTGATACTGTCT